GCTCCTGTGAGTGGCTATGGAACCCTCTACCCGGGCCCTCAGTGTGGGAAAATCACCCCAGTCCAGCTGAAGTTCCACGCTTTGGGCCAGTAGGGATCCAGGGAAGGAAATGGGCAGAGGGTCTGGCCGTGTTGGCATATGCTGGGTGACGCTGTTCTCTTTTTTCCAGCTGCCCCGCCCCTATGGCTGCCCAAGAAGCTGGCTGCAGGTAGAGCTGCTGGAGGGAGAGGGGTTTGCAGTGGTGCTGAGTGGTGGAGTGTTTCCCTGAGTGCTGTGCCATGTGTCTGCTGTGTCCCCCTCCCTGCAAGCCCCGAGGCTTCTTGGCAGCTGACCACCTACCAGGGTGTACTGACCCCGTCATTTAGACTCTTTTTGGGATCTGCCCTTTCTGAGTTGGGCTTTCCGTGCTTTGTGAAATACCAGCAAGAGAGTCCTTTAGTGACCAGCCCTTTGTTGCCCACCTCTCATTGGATGTCCTAAGTTGCATTGCAGGGCACAGGAGGGCTTTGCTAAGGGCACATCAGTGAGTGGTAGAGCCAAGGCCTGGCCGACCCAGTGTGTCTTGCAGGGGAAGTAGCCCAGGCTTGGGTGAGCGAGGTCTCTGGGACTGCTGAGGCAATGGGCACTGGGCCGGGGTTCTGCATGGATTGTGTGGTCCTGAGGGCCTGCATGAGTGGCTGTGTGGGATGCTCCCTGGGCTGTCATCTGAATCCACCTGGGCAAGGCCTGCACTGGGATGTGTTAGGCCAACTTCACTCCACCATGGCACAGCCCTAAGACCCAGGGAAGAGAGACCTTTGGGCACTGGCTGTTTTCCTGCCAGCCCTCAGGCCTCCAGTGGCCTCATCTTTGTCACTTTCTTTCTTCTTCTTTTTTTTTGTGATACTGGTGGCTGAATTCAGGACTTTGAGCTTGCTAGGCAGGTGCTCTGCCACTTGAGCCACTCCGTCCCCTTCTCCCAGTCATGAGATGCTTGCCTCCGAATCCCTGCACCCTCTCATTACCCTCCTGGAGGTCTGCCTCCACCCTGGTCCAGGCTTCATCATTGTGAACACATGGGGTCAGTTAATTAGTTGTTGTGGGGACAGTTCTGTGCATCAGTGGAAGTTTAGCAGCCTTCCCAGCTTGTATTCACCACCCTAGTTGTGACAACCAAATATGTCTTAGACATTTCCAGGTTTCCCCTCAGGGACAAAATCTGTCCCAGTTGAGAGCTGCTGATCTGCAGCAACACAACTGGGTGCCAGGCCCTCGGCTTGGGCTGCCTGCTGGAGAAGCCAAGGTCATTACAGGGAGTGAGGTTCCACTCCCCTCATTACCTCACAGCTATGACTAGTGTGTAGATCTAGCCCTCAAACCCTCTACCTCACCTCATGTGGCCTAAGTGGGGCCCACTGGTGCAGGTCTCGCCCCAGAACACCACATGGGTTCGGGCAGAGGCCAGTCTTCTGTGCAGTCCACTGCTTTGTTTAGTTCCTTCTCCCCTTTCTCCTGCAAGCTTCTTCCCTTTTGGGGACCTAAGATAGGTGACAGCTTGAATTCCAGTGGGCTTTGGTCTAGATCAGGTCCAGTGTGTGGTCCCAGTCACCCCTGATGGGGGTACAGCGTCCCTAAGTCCTTCAGGCCAGCCCTCTGCTTCCAGGTGAGACCAGCCTGGCCAGCGGGATGCTGAGTTGTTTGTTTCCCGGCATTTCCTGGGTGGAGTGACGCATCACACTGCTGAGTCCCTAGGTGTATTATTCAGTACTAGACCATTAATTATGCTTCACTGACCAGCCCTGGGAACTCCCACAGCACTTCCTCTTCATGGCCAGGGACAGGGGACAGGAGAAAGGTCAGCAGACCTGGGGATGGGTGGGCACTGGGTCCTTTGTCTGTTTTCTGCTCCTCACCCTCCAGCAGGCCTGGAAGGTTTGTCTATAGATGGGAATGGAATTAACAGAAAATGGGGCCTGAGCTTTCTTCAGCCCCATCTGGGAACCCCAAGGTGACCATGTGTTGCTGGACACAGTCTTGCACACGGCCATGGCAAGGGCAGTGCTAGTGCTTGTGGTAGCTGCACAGGACCTGGGCTTCCTTGGGTGCTTCCTGCCTGAGTTCTTACATTCCTCCATCCCCCCATGTTAGAAGTGGCTTGGTCCCTGATGCAAGGAGACCTGGCCCCTCAGGGGATCCTCCAAGCCTTGCTGGGCGGCAAGGGCCCTGTGCATCTGTCAGGAGGACCTTGCAGGTGCCTCATGCCTGTGAGGCCCACAGGCTGAGCAAGAGTCCAGAGGTGCTGGGTGGCTCTGCTGAGTGTTACAGGGCTGGGGACCACAGTGGTAAGGTCCTCCAGCCTCAAGCAGACTGACAGCTGCGAGACTCAGAGCTGGGGTGCTCTTAGGGGGACTGGAAATGTGCCTCCCTGAAGTCCACTTGCTTCACCTAGCCTGGAAGGTGATTTCAGCTCCATTAGGAAAACCTAGGGATCCCATTCAGCTAAGGAATCAACATGGCAGATAGCAGGATTTTTAATTTAGACTTAAGTACAATAATGGTTACTCATTTGATGTGTCATTAGTCACATTGCCCCTTAATGAGAGATTGTGCATTTTTCCTGCCTGGCTTTGTGGCTTGCTAATAAAGTTCTGTGAACATGCAAATACTTATAGATGACCACCGAAGGCAGGATGGGAGTTGCATGCTGCTAATTAAAAAGGAAAGGGTATTATCTGGGAGAGGGGAGGGGAGGGGAGGGGAGCCGAGGGTGCCTTGGTATTTACCATAACAGCGTGAGGCTGTTCAGGAGCACACTTGGTAGAGGGCCAGGGAAGACCCGGACAAGGGAGGTTTGGGTCCAGACATAATCAAGTGTGCAGGTGAGGGCAGGACAGGTCCAGTCATCCTGGTCTCTGGGCTGGCAGGAGGGAGAGTCATGGCTTCAATCTGGGTTGCCTCACCTGGCCCTGTGGCCAAATGGTCATCACTGTGTACCTGTGGGGCCAGCCTGAGTGCCCTGAACCTGACCTCTTCACTTTTCCCACCACACTCGGCAACATGACGGGAGGGCTACTCCCATAGAACAACATTGACAGGCAAGGTCGATCTCCCACAGGGCCTTCTGTGTGTGTTCCATTGTGGACATTTCTGTTGGGGACTGTTTTGTAACCGTTGCAGAGAGCTGACCGGGAAAATGATTTGGTTTGGGATTTATGCCTTTGCGTAGGGCTGGGGGGTCCTCCCTCAAGGAGGCATAGGTGGTTGGGGTAGGGGGTCACCCATGGTGGGGTTGAGGAGTTCTGGGCCCAAATGGGGATGGGTGCCTCTTTTTCTTTTCATACTTGATTGACCTTACCCTTTGCTGGGTCAGAAAGAATTGATATTCTGTGGTCTTTAACCCCTCTGGGTGACACTGGCAGGGCACCGTGGTCCTATTTGATGGCTGAGGCTGTGCTCAAGGCCCCTGGGAGAGGCCTCCTTCCACACAGTGCTCACTGGGGCCCTTTAAGGCCCACCACACTTTGGAGTTGTTACCTCAGGAGGGTGGATCCCCACTGTTCACCTCTCTGTGTACCCCTGTGACCTTGGATCCCATCTGGGTCCTCCCTGAGGCACAGGAAACAGCTCCTAGTTCCACATACCTGGCCCCTGGCCTGATCCCTGTGCACCCCTGCTTTTGACGGCTTCCAGCTTCCCTGTTGGGCTGGGCTTTGTGGCCAGCACTTGATGGTGGGCATAAATGAGGAGAGTGCTCACCTCTGTGTTGTCTCACCTGCTGCTGGTGGCCTGCTGGGGTGCCTTGTCACCTGAGCTTTCACTCCTCAATAGCACCCCAGGCTGGAGTCTGTAGAGACCTGGCAGCCTACAGGGGTGGTGGGAGGACTGAAGGATCTGATGGGGTAGAAGAACAGAACCAGGGAGTCAGTGAAGAATTGTAAGAAGTGGGGGGCCGGGCCTACCTATCAGTTGGAAGGAGGCCAGCAGGGTGTGTGTGTGTGGGGTGGCGGGGGAGTCCCTTCCAGGCTGGACAAGGGGCTGCTGAGTGTGAGGAGGGACCCACACACAGGGCTGCTGCCCAGCCCAGCTGGCCCCCTCCCCTGCCCAGCTTGTTGGGAAACTCCACTGCCTGCTGATTTATGGGCATTCTGCTGCATTTTATCAGCCCCAGGGCTCTCTCTCAGTTCCTTTGAAGTAGAAAAAAGTGTTTGGGCCAGAAAAGTCTCAGTGGCACAGAAGGAAAGACTGTCTTCTTCAAGGCTGGACCTGCAGGGAGGTCAGTGGGCACTTAGGCTCACTGGCACCTAGGGGTCAGCTCCTAGGACTTTAGCTTGGTCCTTAGGAACACCTAAGGCCAGCATGAGACCTGCCATCCTCCCGCCTGCTGCCCTCCCACACACTGGCGTCAGTCAGGAGCCTGACTGCCACTGGTTCTTGAGGATTCAGAGGGGCAATACCCAGGAATTGCTGTGGGGAGCTCCCTGTTTGATGCAGAGGCAGCCTGAGCACTGTGCTAGGCTCATCCTTCAGGGAGCCACAGAGCCAAGGGAAGCAGAGGCCTTGCTGGCAGACACCACCCAAGAGCTGGAGAGGATCTCTCCCAGACCTTGGTGAGGGTTGTGGGACTGTGGGGGCCCCCAGAGTGGGATGCTAGAACAGAGGAATGAGGTTGGAGGGTGGGAGAGCCAGTGGGTCAGTCGCTCACTCATTCCTTCAACCAGTTTATAAAGCACCCAGAGGGAGTGAATGAGAGGTGCTCACTGGTGGGTGCTCTGACATAAGAGCAGTAGACAAATCAAGAGCTGTTGGTATGCCGTGAGGACAGATAAAGAGTGAGGGGAGGAATGGGGGACAGGGTGAAGCCTCAGGGAAGTGCCTTTGAGCAGGCCTGCTTCCTGAAGGAGGTGCCACACCCAGGACCCTAGTGTCTGAGCCAGGGAGCAGCTCAATGAAGTCCTGCTGTGGAGGCCCTTGGTCCCCCAGCTGGCACCTTGATCTGACCCCTCTCTCCCTCTCCCCTGCAGCAGACAGGCTCTGGAGAGTTCCGGACGCTGCGGAAAGGCTTGTCGCCATACCACTCGGAGTCCCAGCTTGCCACCCTGCCACCTTCCTACCAGGATGCCCTGCAGAATGTAAGTGTTTCCCATACCCCGCAGTGTTCCTGGTCCAGCATCTGAAGAATTTTTGCTCTGAGCTCCACAGGAGATGGATGAGGCTTAGATGGGTTGGTGACCTATCCAGGACCTACCTGCCATGGTTGGCCCGTGGCCAAGATTTGGGTTCTCCAGCTCTGCCTCTGTGTCTAGGGCTTGAGCTTGAGTGGGTGAAGCTTGGGCTTCAGCCAGTGGTGTCCTTCCTCACCGCCCCCACCCCCGAAGGGGCCCTGGGCTCCCAGACCCTTGGAGTCCTGTGAGGGCCCTGTTTGCAGATTACAGGTGAAGCCTCAGATGGGTGGTGTTGCTGGACATGCAGGGAGATGTCTGAAAGCCACAGGATCTGGCTGTCCAGGGTGAGCACCATCCTCTGTGCACCTTGTTAGCCTTTGTCACTTCTTAGGCACAGCAGGGAGAGGATGCTTGGCTGACCTGGAGTTTGGGGTGGTGGTTGCTACCAGGTTCTGCTGGGTGGAAGAGCTTGTATTGGTGGTTCTGTACTGAGATGGTTCACAAGGCATCAAGGGTCATCCTTGGCACTCTCACCTGGGCTCTGACCTGCCTTGGAGGGGAAATGGGTGGCCACTTGGAGCCAGCTCCCTGAGAAGTGGCTGCCTCTTCTGGGTGGGTGTGCCCATCACCCCTGTGTGACAGTAGAGACAGTGAGAGGTGTGGTCATGGGAGTCCAGGCCCACTTCACTCTTTGAAGTGACCTTAGGCCAGCTCACATCCTCATCTGCTTCACAGGAACAGTAAGGGTCCCCACCTTGCTGGGGGTTCCCCCCCCCACCCCGAGGAGCCCTGTGGGGAGTCCCTGAGTGGTAGGCTACACACACCTGTTGGCTATTGTCAGCATGATCATCTGTGTGGAGCGGTTTTTTTAGGCAGTGTGTGTGCCTCCTGCTCTCTCCCCTCCACCCCCAGACAGCAAACCTGACCTCTGTGGCCTCAGTGCTGGCAGAAGAGGGCTTGTGCCACCACTGGTGGCCACCCTTGCTATTTTGCTTTTGAGGCCTGGCCACCTTCTCCCGGAATGCAGCTGTTGACGCTGTGCAGGCAGCCAAGCCCACTGACTGCAGATAATCCAAATATTTATCCAGGAGCCCCATGGCCCAACAAGGCCCTAATTGCTTGGTGATGAAGGGCTCTGAGAAGGGAAGTGATGCTGCCCAGGGGCTGGCTCCTCAGGCCTTCCTTCCCTCTGCCCCTCCCCCAGTCTTCCTTCCTCCATGCTGGTCCCCTAGGGGACTAATAACAGCCAGCATTTATCGGAGTCTTCCAAGTGATCTGTAAACTGCAAAGTGTGGTGCTGGCTCTGGTGCTGGACCAGCCTGCCGGATATAGGCTTGTTCCCTGCAGTTTCTAGAAAGCACACCGCAGTCCTTAACAGTGCTAACAGAGAGAGGAGGTGTTTCGGGAGGCTCCTCAGAGGGGGCCTTGGTAGGGGGTTGTGCCTCACCTCACACGAGGGGCCGCCACCCCACTTTGGAGAGGAGGAAGTGAGGCCTGCCAGAATTCACATGGGGTTGGAGGTCAGTGCTTAGCTGGGAGCTGTGGAGAGATTTCTGCTCCACAAAGCAGGGCTGGTTGGGGCAGTGAACTGAGGGGCAGAGGTGGTGGCAGGCAGGCCCTGGGGTGGGTGTGTTCCATAAACTAGGCCTTGTGGAGTGTGCTCAGAACTCTGGGCCTCGCTGGGCCCTGGAGAGCCCAGGTGTGGCACTTTGACCCTAAGGGAGGATTGGTTGGGACTGCCTGGGACACTGGCTCCTTCACACCTGGGCCAGTCTCCTCTTAGGCCACCCATAGGGCCCCAGTGAGGGCAGCCAGTTCAAGCAGGAGAGTGTACCAAGCTAAAACAGGTGACTGGGTATGTACAACCCTCTCCTACCCCACCAGGGCTGAGGTGGCTTGTATTCCAGCCTCCCAACTGGAGAATCAAGGCTTACACACGCCCTTCTTGGAAGCTGGTCTCTATGCCTTCTAAAAAATTTTTTGGGTCAGTTGTGCGTTTAGACCAATTCTGCAGTTCTTAGTAAATTCTGTTGAATAATGATCACAATAGAATATCTTCACTATGCTCAAAAGAAACGCTGTACCTATTGGCAGTCACTCCTGTACCTCCTCCCAGGCCTGGCACCCACCTGTCTGCTTTCTGTCTCTGGATTGGCCTGTCATGGACATTTCATATAACTGGAGATATGTGGTTCGGAGTCTTTTGTGTCTGGCTTCTCCTGGTGTGGTTTTCAAGGTTCATCCACATGTGGGCTGCACCAGCTCTCGTTGCTTTCTGTGGCTGAGTATTTTACCTGCAGCTACTAGGTATTTAGGGTGTTCCCATTCTGAGGTTCTTATGGATGGTGTTGTACGGGCACTCCAGCACGAGTATGTTGTGGACGCTTGGTTTTGGTTCTCTCTGGTGTGTATTGCTGTCCCTGCTTTTGGTGTCAGCTCTGGTATCCTACACACCTGGGTTTCCAGCCTCTTTTTTGTATAAGCTGGACTTGAGCAAGCCTCCCTCCTCTAGTCTGTGAAATGGACAAGTGAAAGCAGCATTTACTGGATGCTTGTCACAGGCACTAAGTGGGGTAACTCAGCCATGGCAGGTGCTTGGTGAATGCTCTATGCTCTTCCATGGTGGTCCAAGAGGACAGGAATCCTGATGTGTTAATCACTCATTATGCATGTTTGTGCAGAGGCCATTGTCCTTCCAGGACCCCAGGCCCAGCTTTCATGGATGCCTGCTGCTGTGGTGAGGTGGGCAAGAAGGGCTGAGTTGCACAGTTTCCCCATGCCCCTGAGTCCCTTCTGCCACTCCTCCAGGAATCAGGCTTGAGAGTCCCTGGCGCCACAGAGCAGGCAGTTAGGAGCTAGTGCAGATGGGAACATAGGCTAGAGGTGCCAGGGCCAGCTGGCACAGGGTCTTCCCTGGGACAAGGTGGATGTCTGTGCCCCAGGGAAGGGTGAGGTTGTCCAGGGTGAGGTACCAGGGCCAGGTAAAAGAGAAAGAGAGAGAGAGAGAGAGTGTGAGTGTGAGTGTGTGTGTGTGAGAGAGAGAGAGAGAGAGAGAGAGAGAGAGAGAGAGAGAGTGTGTGCGTCACCCCCTGCTGGTTGGTGGGGGGAGTGCAGCCTTCTGTTCAAGTCCAGGCTGCTTCCTGCCACTGCCCTCCACTCATCTGGTTTCCCCACCTGACAGGCCTGGTCTGAGTACCAGAGACCAGGCAGCCTGGACTGGAGTCAGAGAGACACCCCTTGGGCATTCCCCAGGCCTCTGCATACGTCCCGGGACATAGGATCCTTTGTTATTCAGGTGAGGAAAGAGATTCAGAGCAGGTTTGTGCCTCAAATCTCAGCCAGGGAACCCTTGCCCACAACTATCTTTCCTGGATCCCAAGACTGTGGGGCCTCCAGAGGTAGTGGAGGTCCCAATGCCTGCAGGCTGGTGCCCACTGGGTGAAAAAATGACTGGGCCAGGTGTAGGCCAGGTGGGCCTAGAGAGCACAGAGGGCTTGACTACCAAGCCGGGAGAAGGCTCTGGACTGGGATGGTGGCCCCGTGATATGCTCCCATTGTCTGTGTCCTGCAGGGCGGCAGGTTATTTGCAGAGGAGCTGGTGTGGTGGGCAGGCAAGTGGACTGGCCAGTCAGGGACCAGCTCCCTGGGTGCCTAGGCCCTTCAGCTGCTTCCTCTTCTCCAGCCCCCAGCCCCTCCTGCTTTGTCATATGTGTAGCCACCATTGGGAGCCAGCAGGGGAGCTGAAATGGATGTGTGATTTCTCCTGCAGGGCCCCGCCCGCTCAGCCCCTGAGCTGCCCTCACCCCCATCCACCGGCTACAGCTCTGCAGGACAGAAGCCCGAGGCTGTTGTACACGCCATGAAGGTAAGGACTACTACCTGACTCTCTGCCCCAGCTGCCGAGTGCTATGCAGGACTCTGAGACCTCTGGACTCACAAGCAGTGTTAGCCGAGGGTACCTGAGCAGCATGGTGGTGGGGGTGGGGGTGCATCTCTGCATGACTGTCAGAGCACTGTGAGGGACTCAGGTGCTGGGTGTAGTCAGAAGTGTGTCACCTGTCTGCCCTTCCTGAACCACTGAAGCTGGGGAAACTGAGGCCTGTGCAGGGGAGGACAGGCACTCCCTAAGTCCGGAGAAGTGGTTGCTGGAACTGAAACCCCAGGTCTTCCAGGCCAGTCCTGGGCCTCTGGGTGCAGGAGGCCAGGTCCCATGTGACTCTGGTATCTCTTGTGTGGGCTTGAACACTTGAGCACAGACTTGCTCCCTGGCCTCTCCTTTCTTCCTTTGTATGTGCCCTGTGGATGTCGCACACATGTGCGTGGACATGGCCCACCCTTGTAGGGGTGCTGGTAGTGACTGCCATGCTGTCTTCAGAGTCCTCTTGCCACTCATGGAGTCCACCTGCCTGAACATTGTCCCTGCCCTGCCTGCTCCTCACCCCAGTGGCCCAGTGGCTCAGGGGTCCAGTGACTGCCTGAGGCCTATGGCTGGCCTCTGCTCTGATCTTGGGCCTTGTTCCCTTCACTTCAGGTCCTGGAGGTACATGAGAACCTGGACCGGCAGCTCCAGGACAGTTGTGAGGAGGACCTCAGTGAGAAGGAGAAGGCCATCGTCCGAGAGATGTGCAACGTGAGGCGCTTCCCGGGGCTGAGGGGGGGAGGCTGGTGCTGGGGGAGAGAGAGAGAGGAGAGAGAATGAATGTGCGCTTGGGAGCCCTGACTTGTCATCACCCACTGCCTCCCACCCCATTTGTCCCTCCCTTGGAATGCCAGAGCCTTTTCATCCCAGGGTCCCTGCCTTTTGGCTCTTGGTTTCCCTGGGTGTCTGGCCCCTTAGTCTCCCAGCTCGCTGGTGCCCCCCGGTGGCTGCCAGGCTTGCATTTAATGCTCTGAGCTGGAGATACAGGTGGGACTGCGAGGGTGGGGCTGCCAGGAGAGCCTCACCCTGATCATCCTTTGTCATCTGTTTGGATCTTTGCTGGATGGAGCCAGCGGGAAGGAATTTCCTAGGATCTGATCCCGGGGCTTAGGTGGGGTGGGGTGTCCTGAACTGCACCTCCATGCTGCCTCCTGGAGGCTGAGTTTACACTTAGCAGTGAGCCTGCTTGAGGACAGGCGTGCCCGTGAGGGTAGGCAGAGACTAGGTCTTAGCATTTCTGCCCTCAGTTTGCCTTCCTGGCTCCATGGCACCAAGGACACAGGTGATTTTGCAGACTGGTCAGGCAGTAGGTGAGTGAGGCCAGCGGGTAGGCTGGGGTGAGCCTTCCACTCATCGTTCACACCTCCCCACAGGTGGTCTGGAGGAAACTGGGAGATGCTGCCAGCTCCAAGCCCTCCATCCGGCAGCACTTGTCTGGTAACCAGTTCAAGGGGCCTTTGTAGGGCCATTCTTCTGTGGATGTGACTGACCTCCCTGGGGCCCCAGGTCTAGCCTGTCCTTCTCTGTGGTGAATTGTACATAGGACATGGCCTGTCCTGGCTGCTGTGGTGTGACATTGATGGCCAGGCCACCATCTTCTGCCCCCCACACCAGCAAACCATGAAGACGAGAAGCTACTACCTGGTTCCTCTGGCAGAGTGGCCTGGGCAGCCTAGTTCCCTCTGGGCCCCGGGTTCCATTAGGAAGAGGCTGAAGGCTGCTTCTAGGACACACCCAGGGACTGTGTTCAGCCCTCAGTTGAGGGCACCCCCTCAAGCCTTCTACCCCTTCCTGCCCCCACTCTGGACAGAGGCCACTAGGACCCAAATTCTGACATGTGGGCACCCTTTATGTTCCTGTGCTGTGGCCAGGACTGTGACTCACTGAGTATTGGGTCCCCTGTGTCATGGACAAGGAAACTCACTGTGTCCATGGCTGGCTGGAGGCAGCTCTGGGTCCCCTGCTGTCTGGGGGCTTGGTGCCTAGCCACACTGTGCCAGCTATTGCTTGTCTTCAGTGCTCATCAACCTCGAGCCCCTAGACACATCCCTTCTGTAACGTCCCCTCCCTGTTCCAGGCTGAGGAACCTGTTCCAGGTCCCTCCTGCCAGACCCCCCATTTGTGCTTACAGTAACACAGGAAGGTCCTGGAGAATATCTGGATGGGCACAATAGGGCCATGGCTGGGTCTCTGGTCAGTTGTGGCCTCCCCCAGGCTTGCTGCACCCTGGGCCACTATAGACAGAGCTTCAGGGGCTGCCTGTGACGAGAGTCTTGTTCTCCTTGGGCAGGAAGGAGTCTGACCTAGTTCTGGTTTTAATTTGCTGTGTGACCTTCGGCAAGTCACCCAGCCTCTATGTGCCCGTTAGAAAAATGGGGTTTCCCGAGGCTTTTAGCCTTGCTCACCATTTGAGGCCACCCAACTTTAGATGGCCTCTGTCCTCATTCAGAGCTTGGGACCTAATGGGGTAGAACTGTTAAGAGTGGTGGTGTAGAGGTGGCTCGGTGGGTGGAGCTGTTTTGCTGCGTTGCTTGTCTCAACAAAGCTCATCTCTGAGCCTCAGTGTCCTCAGCTATAAAATGGATAGCATCAGGTGCTTCCTTACAGGGCCTGGGGATCAAATGAGACCTTCTGTGTAAATGGTCATCAAACTGTAAAGTATGATAGGGAAGTGAGGAAAATGAGGCCCAGGCCACTCACACTGTCACCAACCCATGCCACCATTCTCTTGCAGTCAGGTCCTCCCTCCATCGGCTTCCCGTGGTACTTAAGAGCTTCACACAGCAAGCACTTGAAGAGCTCAAAGGGGTCATTGTCTTTGTATCAGGCAGGTCTCGTTCAGGCCCATGTGAAGGGCAGGGGCAGGGAAGGGGAAGGGTATATGGCTACCCTGTTCCTCTCTCCAGCCAGGACCTCTGCCCCAAGCTCTAAGGGGAAAGGCCCAGGGAGGGCTGCAAGGGGCTGCAGGGGGCATGTGTTCTGCTCCTGCTGTGGGCGTTACCAGGTGTTGAGCTTCCTGTCTCCCCACCTGCTGGTCATGGCACTGGATCACTCCTGTGAGTGGACAGCTAGGTGGGCGAGGCATGGGCTCCTTCTGGGTTGGAGGCCTGGGAGCGGTGGCATTCCTGGGTGTGTGGGTTCACATGCGGTGGGAGGCAGGTTTGGGAGCCCTTGTTGGTCATGTTTGAATCAGGATGGCGTGGCCACCACTGAAATAAGCAATAAGTCAGGGCTCCTGGTACCTGCAGACCAGCCTAAGAAAGAACCTTCTTCTCTGAGGAGAGTTGCCCTGTCCCAGTGCTGCAGAAGGATCCAGAGATCTGACAGGCACTTCTTGGAGGGCTGTCCTGCCTGCCACATGGGTGGCATCAGCTGAGTCCCTGAGCCAGTAGTGCTGGAATGGCTCTCTAGGACAGGGCTGTGTCACAGACACCTCTCAAACACAACAGCTATAAGAATTAGCAGCATCCTGGAGCCCAGGTGCAGTTGGCAGTCGCAGAGCCATGGGCTCCCATAGCCAGGAGCCTGGAGGCCACAGCTCAGGGTGACACCCTCCCTCTGGAGTCTTAGCTCTAAAAGTCCCCAGAGGCCGTGGGAGTGGCCTTTCACAGAGGCCCCTTTCATTCCCAGGGCTGATTCTAGATCTTGAAGCCCAAGAGTCCTTTGCACTGGCTCCACTGCCACTGTGACAGAGGCCACCCTTCTAGCCCTAGCCCAGGGGGCCTCGCCTAGCCTAGCCTGGAGTCAGAATCTGCTGAGCACATTTTTTAGAGTGGCACATTTTTATCCAGAAGTTACTAGCTACACACCAGTGTTTAAAGAGAAAAAAGTGACCTTTCATTTTTTTTTCTTGAAACTTGAGAGGAAACAAAATACATACTACTGATTTTTTTTTTTTTAAAAAGAAACAAACTAAGTGCAAGGCTGCAGAGCAGTAGAGGTGTATATTTTTCATACTCTGGGGGAAAAGTATTTGTGCTGCTCTGTGGGAAGGGACTGGAACGTCTGGTTCCTGTCCTGGGCTGGCAGCTATGCTATTTTCTGTAGGTGACTGTGGCAAGACCCGCAGTCATCTGCTCCTGCCCCAGCTGCTTGTAGAGCCGGAGCCTGTGGACTTCCAGCCTGTTTCTACCTTCTATTGAACCACTTTGATTTGTGGAGAGTCAAAAAAGAACTTTTTGATAGTGTGGTAAAAACATTGATTTGAACTATTTTAGTAAAAGGAGTAACAAATAAGATTGTGACAGTGTATACTTTGAACTAGATAAATAAAGGCCTCTTTGCAGCCTCCTGACTGGCTGATCCCTGCTTGTCTCTGTGGAGGGGAGGGCCAAGGGGCAGTGGGGCAGACGCGGCCAGGCATGCCATGGTCCCTGAAGTACCTAGATGGGAGTTCACTTGGCACTCAGTCCTTCCTCTAGACAGGTAGTCCCTCATGGTAGACAGTGGAGGCCATTGTCTACTTCCAGGCTAGAATGGGAACAATTTCCAATCCAAGCCTGGTCTGAGCTTAGGAGCCTGTGATGTATATTCAGTGCTGGAAAGCTTCAGACTAGAACTCAACGGGTTTCCCAAAGAAAACCAAAGCAGGCACAGGAAGAATCAGTCCACAAGGCCTTAGCCAGGTTCCCCAGAGATGCCTGCAAATGGGTGGGGTGAGATCTTGTGCACAAATTCCTCCATCCCCAAAGGAGCCCAGCGGGAAGAGGGCCCACTTCTGCAGCAGATGACTCCACAGCCCAGGCCCACCTGGGCTCAACCTCCCACCTCAAAGACTCAAAGGGTAGTTTCAGAACTGATTTTATTTGAATAACTGACTGAAGGAGTCTCATTTGTAACCAAGATGGGATTCACAGTATGTTGTTACATTCACACTTAAAAAATATATCTCTATGTACAGGAATTTGCAAATAGATGTAAACATACATTATTTTCCAATACATTTCTCCCCTTCTCCCTGGAGAAAAAAGAAAAAAGCCATCCAACAAGGCAACCCCTTCAAAGTCATTTTAGTACAAAGGATGCAAATACCTGTAAATCAAAAAGTGGTTCATCTGACCTACTGGGTGTCATGGAAGAGAACATCACTGAATGAAAACAATGACAACAGCTTGACTTCAGATGGAATTGAACTACTGAAAATTGTGTTTCCAGGAAAAATAGGCACTGATTTCTAGAAGGAAAGTCTCTCCTTACTGAAGCTATTTATTGAGCCAATGTGGCTGGTTAACATTTTCACTAGTATAAAGTAGCCCAGTGCAGGACTCTCAGACATTAGCTGAAGCCATGTACATCAGGCCACACTGAAGCCGCTGCCCCATCTTCCTGGTGTGAGGACCACCCTAATTTTATCCCAGGGCCCCAGTCTCTTCTTTCTGCAACTGTCTAGCATTATACAAGGTACCCTGCTGCTTACCCACTTAAACTGCTCTTCAGGTTGATTAGAAAAACTCTTGTTAAGAAACAAGGGAACAAGGAAGGCGTGTTATCTCATCCAGGCTGCCCGCCCTAGCCCCCCAACGGGCGGCATGCCGGGTGGGGGGATTGGTGGGGGCACAGGTGGCTGCCCTCCAGGGGGGACAGCAGGAGGTGGGTAGCTAGCTGGTGGTAGACCCAAACCTGGAGGAGGGTGAGGTGGGACTGCGTGGGTGGGGGGCATGCGTGGGGGTGGGGGTGGGAAGTTGGGGTTGTAGGTGGGTGGGGGTGGGGGGTAGCCAGGAGTAGGGGGAGGAATGGCAGGTGGGGGGAAAGAGGCTGGGGGAGGGGGCACAGGTGGTGGAGGTGGGTTGGGGGGGTAGACATGGGGATGGTAGGGGAGGTGAGTGGGTGGGCCATACGCTGGGGGCAGGGCACCATACGAAGGGCCCTCAGTCTTCATCATGGACTGCAGGCTCTGGTAACCCTCACCAGACATGTACGAGCTGGTGGTGGACATGCCAGTCATGTAGCTGGAGGGGGGTGGTGGCGGGGGCCGGTGTGGCAGCGGTGGCGGCTGGTGCACAGGGGCTGGGTGGGCCGGAGGAGGAATCTGGACTTTGGGGAGGTCACTGGCATCCACTGGGCCAGGTGGCTCGGTCTCGCCTAAGGCAGCGGCAAGGGGAGGCTTCCGGTCTGCAGAAGAAAGATAAGCTGGTACCCAGCCTGAGGGGTCTGTACCACTCAGTGCAGAGTTGTGGACCTGACTCCTTCAGAATCGGGAAGCCCTGGGCCAGGAGCTCTGCAGCAGATTCAGGGCCACCCCAATGGCACCCTGTGACAGGCTAAGTCAGGTGGCCGCTATTCCCCCAGGGCCATCTTTATAGAGTAATGGGGCAGCTGCCACCTTTGTGATCCAACATGCAGGCCAGTGTCCCAGTGTTGAGGCCATAAGGTCTGTCACACAGGCCCTCTATCCCATCTATAACAACTGGTGAGTCCCCTCATTTCTGGCACACCAGCCATGGGCAGGCTTGGTCCAGCTTTTTCCTCTTAGCACAGAGTAGTGGGAGCTCTTTTTGTCTGTCTCTGTCCCCAGAGCCTGAGTCTGGGAGCCAGGGGACATTGCAGTCCTGTCTGCAGCACTGGCATTTAGCAGAAATAAATTGGCCAAATGAATAAGATGGAAAAAAAAAAAACCCTTGGCTGGGGAGATGGCTCATACCTGTAATCCTAGCTACTCAGGAGGCTGAGATTGGGAGGTCCAAAGTTGGAGGACAGCCCAGGTAAAAAGTTCACAAGACCACATCTCAACCAATAAAAGCTTGGTATGGTGGTATGTGCCTGACACCCCAGCTACAAGGGAAGTACACTTCCTTGTGGGGCTGAGGCCCCCATAAATCTGCTGTCTGGGCCTTAGGCATGGGCAGCAGCACCTCCCGTGTGTGCCATATCACTCTCCAACTCCCAGCACAAAGCTGGGGACTATACTCGCTCAGAAGTTGCTGTGCCTTTTCAAGCAAGGTTTCCACTTAACTGGGGAGTGTGAGATTCTGTCCCACACAGAACATGATACCTCTGTCTGCTCAGTGCACACGTTACTGCAACTGCAGGTGGACAGAGAAGGCTAGTTGACAGCCCACCTGCTGTAGGCACTCAGCTGGCCAGGGTCTGCCATGAGCACTAACCACCACTCAGCACAGCAGACTGACAGAAGTTCAGAGAACTCTCTGGAATATCTACCAGTCTTCAGGAAGCACACATCCCTTCTGCTCTAGCTTACATGCTTCAGCCTGTGAAATGGTGCACAGGTAAAGAAAGCCGTCCGAGAAGCCTCTCAGTTCCCTGTGTACCTGCCGATAACTTTCTACCCCCTTATTCTTCACTGCCTGTGAACAACGGCTTATTCTTCAAAATGTACTAGGAAGACATCCAGCCAACAGGAAGCAAGCGTAAGAGACTGGAGTCTAATATTGACAGGAATCCTGTCTGGATCTAGATAAATGCTCAGTAACTGGTGGGGTTTTCCTTCTCTCTCTAAAACATGTTTATTCTGTGTAGTTCAGGGAATATTCAGATCCATTCAAGTTGAAACATCTACAACAGCTCTAGTTTGTGAGACCTGCAAGTTTGAAAAGCTCCTTGCTTGCTTCTGCAGGCTTCCTCAGGACCTCTCCCAGGCTGTCTCTCCCTCAGGTGGCCACAACAACACTGCCAGCGCACCAGCGGCACTTACCTGGAGGAGGGTGGGCTGGAGGCAATGGTGGGTGAGTGCTCTCAAGTTTGGGGATTTTAGGTGGTGGTGGTTCTAAAACGAAAAAACAGATTAAAAAGCCATTCACACCTCTTCATGTAAATAAACATGTCATAAAGAGAAGAAGAAAATGTGCTCTCAAAAATTTCTTTGGGAGAAAAAGAACAGATCTGACCAAGGCTTTAAGGGAGCTATAGGAAGGCTTCAGCTAAACCACTGAGCTCACCAATCCTGTCAAAATAACAGCACAACTCCTCCTCCAAAACACCTCCATCTTTCAAAGGGCAAAGCTTGCTAACCACTTCTAGCCAGCCCACAACCACGTGCTAGCCCACAACCATCTCAGAACACAAGACAGGCCCTGAGCAGCAATGTCATGTCACTGGGCCTGCTGTGTGCTTACAAGACAATTCTCTACCTTTTAATTCTTACTCAGATATATATGAAGTTTATTTCCTCTCTCAAATACTGATTTCCACTGGTGGCCTGTCAGAAGCGGCACAGTAAGTGGCAACAGTAGAGACCTAGACAAAGGTGCAGGGGCTGGAAGGACAGTGTGCCCACTTCAAAGCACTGGCAGCCAGTAACACCTGGGTGAAGGAAGCCCACCATCAGGTCAGGAACTGTGTGTCACCAGCTCCAACAATGACAATGCCAGGGAGCCAGAATAGTTTACAGAAAGACCAAATCCTCCTGCTTAAGAAGGCAGAGAGCATGCAACATAATTGACAAAGAACTCCATCTTTCTGTTTTTCTGTTGTGGCTTTCACCCTGAAACTTTACACCTGCTTCATTCTGGCTTAATCCACTACTCTTAACAGGAGTCTCTCCTGGTACTGCTGACTACTTTCTCTCAGTTACAGGCTAAATTCAAGGTTCAGGGACCTCTGTGCTCTTTACCCTCCTTCCTCAGAGAGCAAGTCTCCTCTATGATGTAACTCTTCTCCTCCTTCCTTCCTTTTTGGTTTTTGAGACGGTCTCTCTCTGGAGCTTGTTATCCTCGTGCCTCTGATCCTGAGTGCTGGAATTATAGGTATGCACTACTACACCTCGCTTATACAACTCTATTTTTAGTGTCTACCATTCCTCCAAAACCATAGCCCTCACTTCCACGCACCATTCCTGGACCCCCAGCCAGCACCTCATGTTTGAACTCTTCCCTCTGACTAGATAATTACTATCACTCTCCATCTTCCTCTTTTCACAAGCAGTGAAGTTACAGTAGTATGAGAGTCACTACATACAACTGTAACTTTCCAACAGCTGTGAGAAAATGTACAAAGTTGAAACTAACAATATCTTATTTAACCTGACATACAAAAATTATTTTAATGTGTAATTATATAAAACTTTATTCATGATTTTTTTTTGGGACTCAGTACTGGGAGTTGAACTCAGGTTCTTGTGCTTGCTAGGCAGGCACCATATTGCTGGAACTAGGTCTTGCTCTTTGCCCAGGGAGGCTTGGATCACAATCTTCCTATTTTAGGCTTCCCATAGGGATATGCCACCACTCCTAGCTATTGGTTGAGATGGGGTCTTGCAAACTTTTTGCCCAGGCTGACCTTGAAATGTCATCTTCCCAATCTCAGCCTCTCAAGTAGCCAGGATTACAGACTGCCATGCCAACTTCATGAGATTTTTATGTTCTCATTTCTTACAAATCCTTGGAAGTAATGTGTATATTTTGTGCTTCAGTGTGTGACAACCTGCTCTTAGAGGCTGGAGTGCAGTGAAGTGGAACTCTTACATTAATACTGTCACCTGGACCTCCCTTCCTGGCTGCATGGCCACCACGTCCCACTTAGGTGTCTGCAACTTTCTCTCCATTTCCAACCATTTGCCGTACTTACTACCATCAGGAATCTGATCTTGAATAAACTGAGTCTGCTATTCTCTTGCTCAAAATTCTCCAGTGGTTCCCAGTGCCGATGCAAAACCCAGATTTCTCCAGGTAGGCCTCTCATTGGGCCTGCGACCCAATGTAGGATTGAAAACCCATGAAAAGTGGTTCCTCTTGACTCTTTACATTTTGGTAAAACTCCTCTCTCCATCTGGCCCCAAACTTTCAATTCTGTTGCTCACTTGTATCCTCCCACATAGTGCTCTGGATGCTCAAAGGCAAGTCCTCTAAGGTCACCACAGAGCTGTTTCATGCCTCTCTCACTGAACCACATGTCAGCTCATCTTGACTGCATACTCCATGCCCACTATTGTATCTTATACTTAATGCCTGTCAATTTGGAGCTAAAACATTCACCTGTACTGAACTCACCATTCTCCCAAAGATGCTGAGAAAAATATAGCTTATAACTTGAAGATCTCATAACAGTTTTATGAATGATTCACTGGAACCAAGAACTAAGCAACAAAGAAATAGCAATGAGTAAATATAGTCTGTGCCTTTCAAGAGTTCAGTACAATGGGGCAGATTAACACAGAGACAAACACTGCTACTTTTCTATTGTGGAATCCTATAGATTTTGCTTTCTCTTTCCCTTATTTCCATTAGAAGCAAACTGAGCAGCTTGGGGCTCTAAAAATGTGAAAAATAAAATAAAACAAACAAAAAAACCATCAATGTTTGATAGAGGCCTGGCTTCCTAGCAGAGCTGGAAGCGTTGTGGCTCTTTGGGAACACAGACCCAGTACCTCCCCTGACCCTTCACTCTTGTCTACTGTAATGGGTTTAAAACTCACCTCTCAAAACAAACATCACTGCAATAGTTCTAAATTCAAATGATACTTTTATATATGTTAATAAACATTTTTACTGCCAATAAACATTGGCACCTGCATTGACACCTTTTGTCGAAGCATAAGCTATATAGGGACTGGTAAGAAGAAGAGACTTTCTAGCAAAGATTCTGATGGGCATTAACTTTAAAAGTCTATAAGGCTAATGTACATTTGAAAGGGAACAATGTTCACTAAGAACTTGAAATTGAAGTTTTGCACTGATAAAAACCAAAAACCAAAAGATTAGGACAGGAAATTACCTGCTGCTTTGTTCTCTTCTTTGGGAGAAACAACCTATTAAAAAAGAAAATATACAACAGTTAACCTAGATCCTAGTTTTGGTGAGGAAAAAAGAGTCATAGTAACCAACCCTGGTCTCAAATCAAAATTATTTATAATCTGAACTTGCAGGGTGTACTGTAGCACCTAACAGGTCATTTGTTCCCCCCTCCTCTTCCCTTTTTCAAATCAGGTAGAATAATGACCTCTTTCATAATACTGAGTTTCGGGCCCTTGATATATTTGATCTTGGGGTTTGATGATGTGCACTTATCACTCATGGCTTTCTTTGGAGGCGCTGTGAAAACAAACAGTTTCCTAAAGTGGTCAGGTTGCTACCGTGGGAAAAGACTTGTGCTCCACGACCAGAACCTCTTACAGATACCTTGTGTCATTTATAGAACTAACGCTAATGAACTATATCCCCGACAGGTTTCAGGGCCTATTGGGGATTATATAAGCTGGAGTAGGACAGGACCCTCATGGCTCTCAGAGGCTGTTAATTTCAGGTTCTCCCTGGATGTGTGGTTTGGGTGGGTCACCCCTGCTTCTAGTGTTCATGTGATCCCTTAGAAATGGGAATAGTGCTCACCACGGTGCGCTTAGCCTGTCGGGGAGGACTAGGCTGTGGAGAAGGTTTCTTAGGCTGCTGTGCTTGTTGCTGCTGCTGACTTGACTGCTGGGAGTCCTTCTGCTGGGGCTGGGCTGGTTCAGAGCCTTGAGACGGTTGTGACTGCTGTACTTGTGGCACTTGTGGTGTAGGCTGAAGAGATGGGGGCTGCTGCAGCTGATGGGGGGTGTGATGAGGCATCTGTTGTTTCCCTTGTGAGTAAAGATCCAGGATCTGGTGGCAGATGTCTAAATGACAGCAACAATTATATTCACCACAAACTGACATTTTAAATCAAACTTTACCTAGAAAAAAACCAGTTATTATTCCTTACAAGGACTAATAAGTAAGGATCACATTTGCAACTCACCCCATGTTTGTTGTGTACAATAGTGGGTTGCATTTTTAGTTCACTAAAACTATGTGCTCAGACAAAGTGATAATTATATTACAGAGTTAAAGATGCTTCTGAAAAACCACTTATAGATAGCTGTAAATGGTATCTTGCTTTTGACAAAGTCCATTCTTATGACTCGGGTCACAGGAGAGAATAATCTAAACATGGGATACTCTTGCAAAAACATTCAGCATGTCAGGTACCTTCCAAAACATCAACAGGAACATCCTGAACAAACTGCTCCCACCATCTCCTATACATGGGTTTGGAGGTCCATTCTTGTATTTCAAATTTGCACAAACGTCCTGCAAGGTACATCACTGCTACTGCTATGATCTCTGGTTCCCACTGCAGTGACAAGGTGGTGCAGAGACTAGTTCAACAAGGGAAAAAAAACAAACAACAACAACAAAAAAACAACTATTTTAATTGTGTGATCAACATTAATGATTAAACCAACCCATAGATTAGATGTCATCTCTATCTACACGTCACTGTGCTTATTTAATCATCTAAGTGTGATGAAAGTATAAGAAAGCAAATTTTCTAGTACTAAATTAGGTTACTTTAACCATAGTTGCTAATTTGTCTATTCTTTAAAGAATAAGAATTTCTAGCACATTCGAAAGTTGCTACAGAATGAAATATAAGTGAAAATGCTTTGTGTTCTTTTGCTGTTGGAATCCAAGGCACTGTACTGTTCTTCAAATGAAATCTTTTGGTCAAACATTCTGTAAATCAAATGCAAGAGAAATTTCTTTGCTTGCAGTGGGGTGAAATGCCAGCATCTCTGGCATTCTGTATTCTGAGAAACTAACGCTCTAAAATTATTACAAGACACTAAACAGAATTCAATTTTCCAGATTCTTACAACTTATGCTTCAAACTGGTGATAGGATTTTAGCCTCTCATACCACCTTGACATGGCAGAGCAGACAGAAAGCCCTCTTCAGGAAAGTAGATGTCCTGGACTTTAGCCCTAGCTCTGCCATTAACTGGTAAAGTTAGTTTCTTCAAAATGAGGGGTTTGAATTAAATAACCCATAAAATCTGACTATTTAAAAATACTATAAGTCAACATTTGACCACATGTACCTGTCATTTACAAATGTCCATGCCATTTGAACCAACTTTTGAATTTTGTTTTTATCACCTACAAAAAGAGAAAAAAAAAGGAAAATTAATATGAATAGGGGGTATTTTAAACACTTATGTAAATGTCACAATGTATCCCCTGTTCAACTATAATATGCAAATAATAATTAAAAAATGGGGGAAAAAGTATTCACAATAAGTAGTATTTATTAAAGTCTGCCATGTGTCACACAGAGGTTCTGTGGTGGAGATGAAAATGAGTGACGTGGGCTCACGTCCTGCCTCTTGGTCTTTTCCACATGACTTACACTGAACTACCATTTATGGGAAACCTAGCTTCAGGACTAATTTTTTTAGTCTATTTAAAAAAATTCTGACTCATTTTCCTGCCTCCTATCACTTGGCAACTGAATGACAGTGTCTGTTTATGCATAAAAGGAAATAGCATTAACAGTTTTGTTACTGAATCCTCTGAGGGAGTTATGTCCTAGGTACTTTATACACAGAATTTCTGTTTTTCTCTTTTGAGTAGCATAATCTGAGTATCAACAAATTAAAAAGACTTGATTTTAGAATGAAAGAGTTCTTTTAAAAATGATCTTATTCTTGGGAGCTGGGGATGTAGCTTAGTGGTAGAGCGCTTGCCAAGTATGTGTGAAAGTTCTGGGTTCCATCCCTAGCACTGCAAAAACAAAGCAAAGTAAAACAAAACAAAACCAAATAAAACAACCTTATATATTCTTACCTTTGAGTTGTTTTGCATATTTGAGTAGGAACTGGTATGGATGTTCTACTTGTAAATCAAACTTTATGGTCTGTAGTAAGATTCTTTCTAGAACCATTACTTCTTCCTACAAATAACAAATATTGGGGTTGTAATTATAATCACAAGTCTCAAACAGGATTAAAAAATTGAGCTTTCCTGTCTGTTTCTCTTTTCAAGTTATATTTTAGTAACTGTTCTTTGTTCTTTTTATCCTTTCTCCACTCCAGTTTTTAGTATGGTCAGATAAGGCTAAATTCTGAAAAGAACTCAGGAACAGGAAGAAACACCAATCAGAGAGTTAATCTAAAAAACAAAAAACAAAAAAAGAAAAACTGGAGACAAAATAAAGATCCTTAGAAATGTTATTACTTTGATCACACAAGAGTCTCCCTTTACAAAACAGAACTCTACTTCTAAATCATTTAACTGAATTGTGGTTTCAGGATTCCCATAAAAAGCTGGGTGCTGGTGGCTCATGTCTGTAATCCTAGCTACTCAGGAGGCAGAGATCAGGAAGACTGCGCTTTGAAATCAGCCTGGGCATGAGACCCTATCTTGAAAAAACCCTGGTGGAGTGGCTCAAGGTACAGGCCCTGAGTTCAAGCCCCTGTACCACCAAAAAAAAAAAAAGAGAAAGATCCCCATAAAAAAATGAATTCCTCAGAAATTCTCATTAAAAACTTTAAGCAAGGAAGAACTATGACAGTCAACTTCACAACAAAGATAAAACAGTAAGTTGCACCAGTGAGTGTACGTGTACACATATGCACGTATAAACACAGGCACACAGTGTGTATGAATGAATGGAGGGATACCATTTTTGTGTTTAAATCCTTTTTGTGTGTGTGCATGTGTGTTTCTATGTTTAAATCTTTTATGTATCTGAAATAAGCTGTCCCAACATAATTTACCAAGTATGTTTTTTTTTTCTTTATTTAAAATGGCACCTAAATTATATTATGCATGCATGAATTTAGACACATGTAAAATCTTTTGTTTGGTGATTCATTTTTCTACTCCTGTATCATGATCAAAGGGATTTGAAAGGGAGAGTTCCAGTATTACTCCTGTTTTTAAAATGTTTTGTTTTACATGTACTTCATGAATCAAATTTTAGAATAATTTTACTTATCATTCCTAAACAAATAAATAATACTATTAATATTCTGAGTGGGAACTCACTGAATTTACAGAATGATTATGGAAAATGGAGATTATGAAAATTTATTGAAGTCTTTTCAGTCATTTAATAATTTTAAAGTCCTCTCTGCCCTCCACAAAGTTTCTACAAGGCTTATCTCCTTGGATATTTTATTTTACTGTTGCTATTATAAATGGATTTTCCTCTTTTCTCATAATATCTACCCAGTTAATGTTCCAAAACAGGTCCTTCCTAAAGCCACTGTACAACCTGACTATACCTAGCACTTAAAGACAGTGTAACACAGCCAAGACACTGCGCAGGAAGAATGACTAGAAAGAATTGCTTGACTGGCATCAGAAAAGAAAGGTTTTGTAGAGGGCTGAAAATATCATCGTTAACAACTGCACAAATACATTAACTCCCTGTAAACATCATTCTTTAGGGGAGCCTTCCCTCAGCCCTCTACTTATCTGGGTCTCTGGGTAGAATGCTCTCACAGCACCTTTAAATGAGCTTTTATATAATTTACTACAGCTCATGATCAGAGTTATATGATTTTTGATTAAGATCTATCCTGGCACTTAACTGTAAGATCCACAATAGCAAAGAACGTGCCTGTTTTGCCAAGTGTTTTACATCTAGTGCTTAACGTAGTAGCTGAAACAAGTTCTGCTGAATAAATGAGAAATTAGTATCACTGGGGAAACTACTCAGCTAAAACAAAGCTAATTAACACAAAAAATGTTCCATGCAAGTCACAATTTTATTTTTCCTAAATACTTATTCTGCTTTCCCCCAAACAATTGCTTTCTTCTCTGTGAAGGACAAACATGCAACCTTCTTCCTACTTCCCTTCTTCCTACTTCCCAGGGTGCTTTCCTTCACCCCTACTCCCCAGATGTCTGAGAGACTGCGCACAGAAGAGACAGGGAGCAGCATTCCCTTGCTCACTGAGGTTGTATTAGAGGACCACTCCGTGCTTCCTATTTTCTATAAAAAGTAAACACCAGTGGGCGTGGAAAAGATTATGAAACATCATTTCTGATTATTGTCAATGAGTTTCTAATAAGTTTGAATTTTCATAAACAGGGCAATGGCTTTATAATTACGTTCAGAGGCAGAATTACCCAGACAATACTTACGAAGCATTAGTGTTAATCGTAACCACAACATAAAAAGTATTCTGGGTCCCTGTTAACTCTGGAAAGCAATGAGGAAAATGACTACACATTTTATACACACACACGTAACACTGTTTGGCAGAGAGAAGGAAAACTGTTGTGAGATAATATGAGCTAGTTAGGAAACACAAGACATGAATAGTGCTGAGCCTCATCACCTTAGCTTTGGTTTACCTGGGATTTTGAGTTTCCCGCATAACATTAGCTTGTCATTTATTCACAATGTATTTTGAATGCACTTGTCTAGCCACAGAGCTAGGCACCCAGTCTTTGCTCTCTTGAATCTTACAGCTGAGAAGAGGAAAGAGTTATATCTATATGATTATTTGATGAAAAAAACCTATGTAACAGAAACTTAAATGCAAGACTATATACTGTGTGATTCCAACTGTGTAGCTGTTAAGCAGGAGAAAAGGATGAGGAGGCAGAGACCACAGAGGGTTTTTAGGGCCTTGAAAATACACTATACTACACTGTGCTGTACTATACTGTATTATGCTGTTCTATACTGTAATAGACAGTGGATAAATATCATACATTTATTCAAACCCATACAAATGTTTAAAAGAATGTAAACTTAATGTAACTAATGTAAACTAAGGAAATAGCGTGATAATGCATCAAGACAGGTTCATCAATTGTAACAAATATACCACTCTAGTGGTGAATGCTGATAATCAGATAGACAGTGTATTATGGGGCAAGGGGTACAAAAGAACTCTTGTACCTTCCTTTTGATTTTGTTGTGCACCTAAAATGTTATGAAGGGTAATTAACAAGTGCTGTAAGGGTTACAGTAGGGGGAGTTTAACAAAATGGGGATGGAGGAACACTGTTATTGGTCCCTGAAAATGGTATTTTTAGAACACACAAAAAAATGTGCAATTATTTCAATACCACTTGCTGATATTGGCAGGGGTTGTGGAACGAGATAAGATGGACAGCACTGGGCTTGAGGCATGGCTTAAGTAGTACAGTGTCCGCTTAGCAAGCACAAAGACAAGATCAAAAAGTTCAAACTCCAGTACCACCAAAAAAAAAAAAAGATGAAACGATGGATAGCATTGGTAAGTATCAATCTCTGGGTATCTGAAATTGTTGCAAATGTTGGCACCTTTTCACCTTCTTGAAAAGCAAAACACACAAAAAAGCTCTTGTACTTGTGTCTGATCTAGAAGCTGGCTGGAGTTGTGATGCTGCCCTCACCTCTGTACCGTACCTAAGTGGAGTGCTGGCAACAAGATGAGTTTTGCTCATACCCATTACATGTGCTGTCATCCTTAAAGTGCTCAGGACACTGCTAGGCACATTATGAAGAAGTGTATTAGTGTAGGCTACATACTATTTCTTCCTCTCTTACAAGGTGAGGAGCACCTGCTACATAAAGCCTTCTAAGGAACTCAAGGACTGGCAGATACAGGGGCACAGCCACTGTCAATGTAAAGACCTGTATATCATAATGCCATCACCAAAAAATACGATTTGAAGGCAAGAAGTTACAGTTCTTACTTTGGGTCATCTCCAAACTGGCCGAATTGTACATCATTTAATAAACTACGAGCTGTTTTGATGATATCTTTACATTTTTTTGGTGTTTCTTCTACTTTCCCAGCCAGAAAGAGACAACAAGCGCCTGTCACCTAAAAGGGAGACAAAAGCTCTTAACTTCTGTTGACAAAGATCATATAGGAACAAACACAGGATTTTTGACCTTTACAACACACCAGTCCCTCTCATTCTCCTATTTTCTTCTTTCTCATTCACAGATATTTGAAATTATAAAAAGATAAAGTTAGTTTTCTTAAAGAAATGTCAAAAATAAAAAAGCCACAGAAACGAATTTCCTTTTCATATTCCAATCTGTAAGATAACAACTCCGTGTACAGTAAGCTTTGCTTTGCTCTGGAGAAAGAACAAGCACAACTCCATGTATATCCTGTGGAACCCTTCTCTGAACCACACAGCCCACACTTATTCTCCCCCCCAGCTACGGTCTCAATGTGCTCCCCATCCCAATTTACACATTGAAATTCAGCGTGGAGGAACCTATGCTTTTTTGGGAGGTGATCCCCTCCTGCATGGGCTGTCTTTATAAGAGGCCTGAGGGAGCCTATTCCTTCCTTCCACTCTGTGAGGGCCCAATAAAAAAAAAAGGTGCCCTCAGTGAGGAACGAGCTTTCACCAGACATTGACTCTGCTAGCACTTTGATCTTGGATTTCTTAGCCTCCAGAACTGAGAGGAGTAAGATTGTTATTTATAACAGTCTAAGGTATTTCAATTAGCTCAAATGGACTAAGATACTGCCCCTCTCTTCTAGTTGCCTTAATCCTGCATCACTGAGGTCTGAACTGCTCCCTTCAACTTCTCCTCTCCTCCACCCCCAACTCCTGTACACGCCACACTTGTCACACAATTCTGATTGTAGTGGATGTGAGACACTCTGCCAGGGGACAAAGCTGATTCTGACACTGTCTCCTTCTTCAAGAACTTCACAAACCTGTGAGGAAGATGAGTATGCAAATCTAGGTAAAATTCTAGCAAAAAGAAAAAACCCCAACAAAATGACCTTCCTGTTAAGTCTAACTCTGTCATCTTCATTTTAATCACTTCACTGCTTACCTACTGAAGTCAAACGTCCCTAGTTTGGAATTCAAGGTGTACCATGGTCTGACTCAGTTTGCCTTCCCACCGTGGGCCTTATCATTCTTTTCCTGCCAAACAAGCTCCTGTCTAGGCTGTCAACATGCTGCAGCTTCCCCCTGCATCTGCTTAAGCTAGTATCCCTAAGATTGCTGCCCTACCCCACCTCAGCCCTCTGTGTGTCCAAGGGAGGGAGTGCTGCTGCCACTCCCTCCCTTTCATGTTCCCTCATCCCTCAAAGACACAGTTAACGCCACCACTGAATGCCACGGCCCTATCTATAGCTCTTCTATGGCCTCACTTAAGGCTAAATTTACCTTGGGAAAAGTAACAGGGAAGTGGACTTCCATACAAAGTGTAATATAACTATGGTCCATACTGACCCAAATAAAAAAAGATTTTAACATGGTTAACTGGAAAAAACAAAGTTTGAACAAGAATAAACACTGCTGGAAAATATGATAAAAAACAGACAATACAACCAGCCCACCAAACTGTGTGGAAATAATAGCATATGGCAGAGAGTTATAAAATTCACCACTTACATATCTTGGGAATTGCTTGAAGGAATGAAACATATAGAAGCGATGAAAATAAATTATTCCAGTTGCCAGGGTATCATAGTGTCTGTTGTTCTGGTTAAGGAATTCAGCCAATAAAGTTTATAGTTTATGTTCTTAGTTAAATGCAGAAAAATAATAAAGACAACAACAACAAAGTCAGTGGCCAAGTAAAAAATATCTGTGGAAAAGCAGGCAGATGATAATTTCAGGGTGTCAGAATTCTGGTATAAGAATTAGCACTTTGAAGATTTATGTACCTAGCAGGCCTAAGAAAACACTTTAGCTGTGATCTTAATGGATGCTGGTTTTCCTCCTGTGTGGTCACTTGCTCAGTGGCTGAGTCAACACATTTAAATGATAAACCAGAAACAAAAATATCCCTGGATATGGCACTTGGGGGAGAAGGAAGAGGAAAAGAGAATGATAAGGAGTCAACAATATCTAAATTTACATTGCATCTGTGCAGGTAGATGACCTAATGACACGTACTGAAAGCTGTTGAATAATAGGGATAGGAAGGAAAGGGTAAGGAAGAGTAACAGAGAGGGTTGAACTGACCAAAGTACAGTATATTCACAGCTGAGCTGAGATACATGGAGAAACTTCTGTGAACACTGACTTTGGAATTAAAAATGGTCAGGACTATAAAATAGGTGGGTACTTATAGAATGAGGGAGGATGAATGGAAGGGATGGAGGAGAGTGAATATAGTGATGTGCTTTGTATACATATATGAAACAGAACAATGAAACCTTCTGCAATTGTTTTAGGTGTGGGGAGGTGAGGGGAAGAGACAGAAGAGGAGAACCTAACCAATGTATAATGTAAGCATTTTCAGAAATGTCACAATGAATCTCCCCTGTACAACTAATGTATGCTAATAAAAATGCTTCGGGGAAAAAAAAACAACAACCCTGAAGAGCCAGATAAACAGAACATTTGAACACCAAAAACATGTAAGAACTGTCCTAGTACAGATGACTATGTATTTGTGTATAATTCTGCCCCTCCCCCCACCCCACTTCTGGTGGTACTGTGGTTTGAATTCAGGGCTTCTTGCTTGCTAGGCAGGTGTTCTACTGCTTAAGTCATGCTTCCAGCCCTTTCTGCTCTGGTCATTTTGGAGATAGAGTCTTGCTTTTTGCCTAGGCTGGCCTGGACTGCAATCCCCCTATTTTATATTTCCTGCTGTTGATGGGATGACAAGTGTACAGCAAGATGCCTATCTTTTTTCCAATGAGATAAGGTCTCACTAACTCCACCCTCCTCCCGGTCTGGCCTGGAACCATGATTCTCCCAATCTCACCCTCCCAAGAACTTAGGTTTATAGACATGAGCCACTAGCACCTGGCTTTTAATTCTTGGTGGTGGGGTGTGTGTGTGTGCTTATCTGTAACAGATCCCACAGAGAATGAGGATACAGCCCCAAACGTGTGCCCACATCAAAGATAAACCGAGCCCCCTCTCGGCGGTACCGGGCCTCAGTGGCTGGATCAAGTCCTTCAAGTTGTGAGGGTGTGTGAGCCAAGTCTTTCTTATCCCAGTACCAACATGGTTTTGTGTGGTCCAGGTTTGCTGACGTTATAGAAGGGCTTGAATTTTCTTTATTCTCCTTCATTTATTGAAGTAGACTTGTTCTTTCCAAAAGGTTCTCTGAAAATGTTATAATCCTAAGAGAAAGAGAAAAAGACATAAAGTTGGAAAGGGTTGCCACACACTATAAGTAATTGTAATTATTATAAGCAATGTACTACCACAGAATATACCTGACAGATTTCCCCCAAAAATAAATAAAACTGACAAATTTGACAGTTAGAAGCTCAGTCTATGCTGGATGTGATGGCACATACCTGTAGCATCAGCACTTGGAAATCTGAGGCAGGAGGTTCATGAATTCAAGGCTGGCCTGGGCTATATAGTGAGACCTTGTCTCAGAAAAACAGAAGCCCCAGCTAACCTCCAAAGCCAATACCCTAAGTGACTCTAGCACTAATAAACTCCACATTTTATGGTAGTTTAGAAGCAGAGCATTTCTTCCTCCTCTTCAGTCTAAAGGCTTAAGCCCTAACAAAACTGTAGAAGAAACTAAGTTTGTATTACTTCTTTTCTGCCTTTATTCACTGGAGATAGGTTTTTCTCATGCTGGTCTAGACTCCACTCTGCATAAAACCTGTGAATTCTTAATCCCCTACAAAGATTTATGCTCCCAAATTATCCATTCCTTTATCTAGCATCTAAATCCCCTCCCCTTTCAGTTTAATTGATTACACTTATAAAAGCCACAGGAGAGCTGGGAACGTGGCTCAAGTGGCAGAGGATTTGCCTAGCATTTGCGAGACCCTTTGTGGGGGGAGGAGCAGGGGAGCCATAGGATTGGGTTAACATATACCTGCACAAACCACTGAACACAATATAAACTGGGTGTGTACTTGTAGTAATTTGGGGGAGAGAGTGGAAGGAGGTGGTCCATGGGAAGGAGATCCTTTAAATTTATCTTGTTTTTCTCAGTCTCTTCCCTTTCATTCATTCAGAATACACAGATCTTCTAAAAGTTCCAAGTGGAAAAAAGAGAAAACAAAAACAAGGAGTTCACCTTCAGACCACTGTAGCATATAAGTCCTTTGTAAAGTGACTACTCAGGGACAATGGACAATTTCAAAGAGGGAAGCAGCAGGGCTCCAAAAGAAAAGGTTAGCTTAGCGAGAGAGAAAATGGCAGTTCTATGGCCAGGTTCTAGCCAGAGCCCCACCAGTTCATCTGAAAGCCTAATTTTTTTCTATGTACTTGCCTCGTGTCTGGTGGGAAAGGTGACATGGCAGGGCTGAGTGTTCTGAACCTCCTTGCACCTGGTACCTCTAAAAGGGAATCTGATCTTTCCTCCAAGAGAAGAATTAAGTATCTAGAGAAAAGCAATCTGTTTGCGCTAACAATTTACACTTCTGTATGTGACTGATTATATTGGGCAATGCTATGTGGGATCAATTAACCAAAGCCTCAGATACTATCATAGTGAGATACCATTTCTTACCTATTGAACCACAAAAACTTGACCATTTACTGTAGGCAAGGCTAGGTAGAAGCAGGTGGTCTCAGATGTTGCAGGTGGGAGCACAAAATGGCATAACTGTCACAGAGGGGAAGTTGGCAATATCCAACGAAATGACACATGCATTTGTTTGATCCAGCAATCCCATTGCTAGGAATCTTCTCTGAAAACACCAAAACAGTTATGCAACAAATGCACAAGAATATTCACTATCATGTTATCTGTAATGGGAAATCTACCAACGACCAATTCTCCGGCAATGGGAAGCTAGAGGAATGAAATATGGTACATGAATACAACAGCATACCAAGTAGCCACTAAAAAGAACAAGAAAAGATATCTTAATGACTGCATGGAGAAATTTCTACGATCACAAAGGCTAGGATAGTATGCTAGCACCTAGGTAAGAAAGGAGAGGAAAGAACTGCTATTTTCTTGCCCCCTAGTTTTTAAAAACTAGTAATAGAAAAATGGATACCAACAAGGAACAGGGAAGACAGAAAGTACGGGCATGGGAAGAGGATTTCACTTTATCTAACTTTTTATGTAGTTTTAACCTTTCAGGAAATGTTTTAAATGGTTGTAGATTTACAAAAGAGTTATAAAGACAATACTGAGAGTTTTTGTTGTTGCCCTTTACCTCAATGCCCCCTTCCCCCCAGTTAACATGTTACATATACATGGTACTAACAAATTAACTTTGTTATAACATTAACTAAATAAACCACAACCTTTACTTGGATTTTGATTTTTTCCAAAATCCCCTTTTCTGTTCCAGGATTTAATCCAGGATACTAACTGCATGTATGTGTCATTTTTTCTTAGTACTGCCTCTTCTAATAAGCAGCAGTTTTTCAGTCTTTCATAAACTTTCTTCTGTTTTGGGTTTATGTGATGCTTTCCCATAAATGGAGTTGTAGGGAAAAATGCCACAGAGGTTAAATGTCCCTCTCATTATATCATAGGCAGGGCATAGGATGTAATGACTTTTTATGGCTGATGTAAATCATGACCTCTTGATTAAGATGAAGTCTGCAGGGTTTCTCACTGCAGGTTACCATTTTCCCTTTCACCTTCTTTTTTTCCTGCACTACTGTGGATTGAACTCAGGGCCTTGTACTTGTTAGGCAGGCACTCCAGCACTTGAGCCATGCCACAAGCTCCTTTTGGCTTTATTTATCTTTCAGGTAGGGTTTTGAGTTTTTGTCTGTGCCAGCCGGGACTGCAATCTTCCTATTTGTACTTCTCTGTGTAGCTGGGATGACAGGCAAATGTCAATGTGTCCAGTCACTGGCTGAGACAGGGTCTCGAAAAACTTTTCCCTGAGCTGGCCCTGATCTCCGCTAGGATTACAGGTGTGATTTACTGCACCTGGCTCCCCTTTCCATTTTCTATTTCTCAGATACCAGTTACTAGGTTCAGCCTGAGGTCCTTACTGGAGGATAAAGGATTTAAGCTCCACCTTCTAGAGGGAGCAGAAAGAATTTGTGGAGGTATGTTAAGTTAGTAAATATTTTTGGGAAATATTTTGTAATGCAAAATATTATGCAAATACCAGCTTGTTATTAAAGTTTCACTTACTGACTTGAACATTCATCTGAGCATCTTGTCTGCAACAATTATTATTGTGGTGGTAGGTTTTTTGAGGCATAGTCTATGTTATCTAGGTTGGCCTCAGCAGCCCATGCAGCTGGGATTACACCTTCCCAGTTGTTCTAATGGTGATTTCCATTTCCTTCACTCCTTCAACACTTATTATTTACATTTCTTTTATAAAAGAAAGGCTTTTTTCTTATCTTTTTGCATTAGTAATAGACTCATGGGTATTTAGTTTATTCTTTGGATTATAATGAAATACTATTATTATTTGTTTTGTTGCTCAAATTGCTTCCCCATGGCCATTGGGAGATCTTTGAGGTTGACTTTGGAGTTCTTTTGATTGACTTTTGATTCATGTCAATATTTAACAAATTGATAAATAAAACTAAAACTATAAAAAGCAAATTTTACTGCAAAATAAATCCACTGTATGCCAAATGGACAACATAACCACAGAGAAAATTATTTCAAATAATTCTGATCTTGTTTCATCCTTAATGAGATGTACTCTAAGGACAGAAAAAGCTGCAAAGAAATCTTAAACTTCATTTTTAGTAGTAGTATTACTATTATAATTTTGTACGGTAGAGCAAATATGTAAATACTAACATTAGTAACCAAGATTTTCAGTGCAATACACACACACAAAGTTAAAAAAGACTAATGTTAAATTTTAGTTGAAAATATCAAAATAAATCATGCTAAAAATATATACAAGTCCCAGCTCTGTCATTTCTTTTACCTAGAAGCAGGGACACTTCCATAATGAAGAACAGTTTTGGACCCCAATTTTAGTTTTCCAACACCACTACCCTCTAAAAGGAAGCATTCTTTCCAGTATGGGGTAGTGGCCTGCCTCACATATATTCAGTTTAATGGAAGCTTATCACAAGTCATAGGAGTTAGAATGATGGCACCCACATAATTTGAACATTAAAAAGAAAAATGGCTGTGGTTGATTGTAAAAAAATGAACAACCCATGAGCCCACAGTTGTATACAGAAAATAAGCCTACTTTGCTAGCGCTGGTAAAAATTACTATTTAAAAAAAAAAAAAAGGTAACTACCTTAAAATGCCCAAACGTAGTATCAGGGATAGGGCAAGAACTTGCCATTATGTGCCTGCTGATGTGATGCAGCATGAAATAAACATCACCTGTCTATCTAGACAGTACTCTTGCCCTTCTAAGGCTTGCCATCTATCTCACCAAGCCCTTAGACCAAACTTCCAGTTCACAGTAAATACTCTGGAGACAGAACAAGGAACTATTAATCACCCCAAGAAGGTTGGACACTTTATAAGAAAACTGACTTGGTCTCTTCAAAAAAGTCACTGTCATGAAAAAGCAAAAGACAGGAGGGAGGAATTGCCCTAGAAGTAGAGTGCAGGATATCTGCTGAAATGAAGAGTGGGGAAAACGGCTAGGAATAACCCATTAGGGATGAAAAGAATTGCAGTGTGCAAGTGGATAAATCATACATATATTTGTGTCTGTCTTAACTTGCTGTCATTGGCCACACTCCTGCTAATAATTCAGTGTAGGTCCCTTTAAATTCTGGAATGAGCAGTACAAAATGAAAGGAAGTGCACACAAAATCTAAATCAGTCTTCGAAAAAGTGCTCGCCTCAGTTCTATAACCCTGTTCCTTAAATTAATACTCTTCAATTAATTTTTCACAAGAGCCTGAAGTTCTCAATGTCATTAGCAGCTTTCGATCACTGTGAAATGGAGAGATTTGAGCTTCACAATGAAAATCTCTTCTTAAACAAGAGGCACATAAAGGCACTGTAGTGACATCTTTCAGTAATGTGCTTTAGGCATATTTTACACAATGAAAGATGAAATGCACACCTAGAATCATACAACAGTATAATCAAGCAATACTAAAGGCCACTACATAATTCTCTTACCCAGTATAGAAATCCACCCCCCACCCTTTTTTTGTGTTACGGGGCTTGAACTCAGGGCCTACACCTTGAGCCACTCCACCAACTCTTTTTTGTGAAGGGTCTTGTGGAACCATTTGCCTGGGCTGGCTTCAAACCTTGATCCTCTTGATCTCTGTCTCCTGAGTAGCTAGGCGGGAACCACCAGTGCCTGGCCAGAAATTCCCTCTTAATTACAGTATTAATTGTTACTAACCGTCATTCAGCAACTTTCATTCATGGGACCTTAGTTTATTGTATTTCACATTTCAAAAACCGTCTGGGGCTGGGGGGAAAAAAAAAAACCTCTCTGGGGCTGTGGATGCGGTTCAGTGCAGGGACCTGGGTTCACGTACACACATACACACTTTCCTGAGTGTCATCTAACATGCTGCCTAATTATTACTACATGATTTGATTGAGTTTATTAACTTGAGAAGATAGTTTTTATGTTTATGTAGTGATTTTTTAAAAAAAGTGTTAACCAGAGTAGGGGCAAGACAAGATCCCTGCGGTGTATCTCTAAAGACTAGGCTAACATCAACCCATTAGTCAAAAGTTCAGTTTAGTAATTTGAACGGATACAAATCCACCTAGCTACATCTTATCCAATGTATATTTACTTCTTGTGTCTACTAGGTAAGAGATTATGTTTACCATTTCCTGAAGAAACCTGAATGGACTTATGTCCTGCACGCTCCCATTCACCACCAGTGGAATAAACTTGTAACAAAAGGAAGTATCTGTGTAATTTAGCTTTTTCTTCTTGAAGTTCTGCTGGCTTAAGGGCTCTTCCTTCTTAAGTACTTACAAACACTTGTTTTTTGCCCTCCCCAAAATATTCTAAGAGAAATCATTAATAAGTCTTTATACCCAAGAGTCATCTAATTGCTGTCTGTGAAAACAAGAGACATTTACCATAGCCTACTTCAGTCTTCTATTATTAACTGCACTTTTCGAATTCTTCACAAGTCATAAACAAGGAACCAACAATTCTACATCCAATTACTCTGGTATTTATCTAATCTTAAGAATATGAATTAGTTTTAACCCAATTAGATATTCTTTTTAATTTCCTCAATTATCTTGAATTTAATTCCTTTTGATTTTGTTTGTTCTTACCCAATTTTAGAGAAGACAAGCAGAAAACCATTTCCTTCTTTTCATACACTCAATGAACTCACTGCTTTCAGATATCATTTCCTGAAATGAACTTGCTCACTTTACGGGTCAAACTATGACCCATTTTTTTTCTTCATGACATTCAATTTAGAAATGACATTTAAAATTTAAGAACCTCACCAATAATCAGAATGTGTCTTTATTTCTTTCTGGTGGGCGCACATACACCACACTTTCCAAAATGGAACAAATGTTAAGTGGGATTTGTGCAACAATCAACTGACATGCTTGAATAATATATCATAATATAATAAACATGAGACAAACGGGGGAAAACCTTAAAATTAGACATCATTGGTACTCACTCTGGAAAATATAAGTCTTTGATAATTATCACATTTATAGTGCAGAAAATTTAGCAAATAAGCAACTTAGTAACACTAACAATTTTAACCAAAATGCCTATCAATACTACTAATACCATCACCCACCCATCCATTCTTCATTAAGCAATTCAGTTTCCCAAACCACAGTGTTCTAGGTGCTGGAGATTGAAAGCTTGGTGCTTTCATTCTAGCAACATCATTTCTAAAACCTATGTCTGCCCGCACTTGCAAGGTCCTAGTTATTTGTAAAAAATAACACATAGAAAAACACATAAACATCAAGTTTTCCTTAAAAACATGAAAGGCCAGCCTCAAGTAACTGTTCTTAGAAGCCATTCCTTGTCTCAGAAGACTTAGGTAAAGTTTCATTTAACTGGCAGTTCAAGTTTAGGGAATGTTTCCGAGCACACATCGTGCAGCTAGTTTACGAGGTTTTAGATAACCTCTAGACGCATGCTTTAACTTTCTAAAGACAATTTCTCTAATAGCAAGCCAAAGCAACCACCCAGGAGGAGGGTAAGGATAACGTCTGGGCAAGTGGAAGTCTAATCGCTTTAAGTCTTTTCCTCATTCCTAGTCCCGCCGTTGTTACGTGGTCCTTGGAATTCCAAAATACCCCATACATGAAACAATCTCCACAGTCTCAGCCCTATCTAACACTGGGATTGAGCTCCATGCTCTTTTCTTCCACCTGCTTGAAACCCCAAGCCCAAACCCCACCTTCTTGCGAGTGCTGCTACCAGTCCTAGGGTTCCCCGAGCCTCCAGAACGTATCCCTGCGCCTCAGACCTTCTTCTGAAAACCCCCCAGCAGCCTCGCGTCGCTTGCTAACTTCAACGTGCATCGGAAGCTAGAGGAGGGAGGCGGATTCCGGGAAGCAAGACTCCGCTGGAGAAGGGCGGCACTTGGCCATTCCCTATTCCGACCTCCAGGCACGCGGGAGGTGGGCGACGCTACCGGCAGTCGGTGGGTCACTTACCCTCGCCCCTCAGACAAGCCCCTTAGCGACGTCTCTCCTTGCTGACGGCGGCCATCTTGGATGTGGAATGTCGGAGAACTACGTCATAGCGCTGCGTCTCATGGTGAAAAACAAGCGACCAGAGGAGCGGCTAGCGTCAGGTGCCTGTTAGCCAATCAGAAGAAAGTCGAGCTCTCAAAAAAAGGAACTAGTCGGCTGTCTCCTCCCTGTCCGTCTCGCTGGTCAGTGGCTGCTTCGTAAAGGGGGTGGAGCAAGCCAATGTGCCCCTCCCATCTGCCCCGCCCCCAGCGACGAAAAGGAGTTCGGGAACAACCGAACCTGTTAACGGAACTTGGGTGCGGGGGCGGGGCCGGAGGCTCTGTTTGTCCAATCACAGCTCGGACGTGGGCGCAATTCAGCCAATTGAGTACTCAGGCCTGGCAGCGGCCGACCAAGCCTCTCTTGCTCCCGGAGCTATCCGTCCAATAGCTGAACAGGACCCGAGCGGAACGGCTGCTGGGTGGTGGGGCGGGGCTGCGCCCAGGCGTGCGAGGCACGGGCCAATGAGCGGTGGCGGCGGTGGCCCGGGGGCGGGTCCGGGGGGCGGGCGGAACCGGGTTGGGCCGTGGCGGCGGGGCCGACTCAGGCCGCCGTCCCGCCCCTCCCGTCCGGCCTCCTCCGCCGCCGCTGCCGCCGCCACCACCGCCTGGGGGTTGGTTGAGGCGGACGGTGGAGTCCGGGCCGGAGTGTGGCGCCGCAGCTGCGCGAAGGAGAAGTGGGCAGGTGAGTGCCAGCAGCGGCCTCCCGCGCGCGGCCCGTGGGCTGGGGGAACCAGTCGTGCAGCCGCCCCCAGTGCTGCCAGGCCACCTCCTGTCCGGTCGGCGCCAAGGTCCGGCTGCCGGCTCCGAGCCCGGGCCGCGGTGGGCGGGTGTGCGCGCGGGGTTTGGGTGCAGAGGGCCCGCTGGTTGGAGGGCCCGCTCGGCCTCTGCCCTGACGGCTCTGTTGGGACCAGGGTGCGAGCTCGCCGACTCTCCGTTGGCGCCTGCCGGGTCCCAGGGTGGTGGCAGGTGCAGGGAGCGTCCCCCCGCGCCCGCCCTCTCTGTCCCCCGCCCGGGCGCCGCCCTCGGGTGGGGCCAGGGCCCCTCTGGCGCGCAGGTCGCCGGGCTCTGCGTGCGGCCGGGTCGCGCTCTCATTTCCTTCCTCCCCTCCCGTTGCTCCGCTGCCTGGGGGAGGGCTGCGTGGTTTATATGTTCCTCGCTCCAAGCCCCAGGTGTCCACCGGGGTGCCCGGAGACTAGTCCCGGCTCCTCTCCCTTCACTGCCCAGTAAGAAAGACAGTCGTAGAAAATAGGTCATCTTTCTTCCCACGCGCCCCTGGCCATGGTCCACGCGCAGCGCCCTACTAGGGAGAAGAATTCAGTGCTTTAGAGTTTGCCATTCTGGTTTTAAACTCTTTCTCCTCGTGGCTCCAGCCTGGCGATGCAACTTTGCCTCTTTCCCTGTTTCCACTCAGGGTGGGAAAAGAAGCGGATCGGTGATGGGCGCCACTTACTGGGGCGGGGTGGGGGGACCTCACCCCCATCAAGTCGGTAGAGGAGGACGTTTAAATGTTTCAGAAGTATTCACGGGTTCAGAACTCGGGGCATATTGTTTTCCATTTTTAAAAGAGAGAGGTGGTGTTTCAAAAGCAAAGATACTTTTATTGTTGACAGATTAATCTTGCCTTTCAGAACCTCAGAAGAATTAACCTTTTAGCGATGGATCCTGGTGACGATTGTCGAAACTTAAAAGAACTGGACACTGAAAAAAGTGTGAATTCTATCTTACGCAAAAGATACTTCTTCCTCTCCCATTCTTCAAAGTCTCATAAGTGACCCCAAGGGAATTTTAAATCTGAACTAAATAGTAATAGTCTTGGGGAAATGTTTAATATACCTTAAGATTACAGCAAAATAGAAGCCATTTTTCTCTCTATTAAAATTTGCCAAGATTCACTTGAACCATGATAAAGTGTCTCTGGTCTACTATGTAAGGAGTCCCCACTTACCAAATTAGTCTCAGGGGCTGCTGTGATTGATATTTTGGTGAAACTCCCACTATTTAGGGATGCGTTTTTCTCTGACTTAAGAAAATAGTTTGCAAAGCCAAGCTCTTAAACAGCTACAGAAGAACCTCTTTACTGGGATTCCAAACAACCTTGGTTTTTAGGTTTCTACTCCCCCTTTCCTGTCTGCCTTCTTTACTCTCTGTGTATTTAAGATTGTCCCTTCATATCTGCAGTGGAACTCTAGTCCAATTGGAGGGAAATGGTTGCTGCTTCTCATCCCTTCTCCAGCATGCTAACACCTCCATGCTGTTTTCCTGGAATAGGAGTAATGTCAGACTTGAAGATTAAAACATCTATGCTTGTATGTGCTGTAGGAATGAAAGTTTCTGTTCATTCTCTGTCCTAAGAGCCCAGCAAAATTGCCAGTAAGAAAATAATGCTATTGAGCACTACTTTCCATGCCATGTACATTTACACCAAATTTTAATGATTATTAAACCTTTGCTTTAAAAGCCACTGGGTAATGAGGAAAATGTGAAGTTGTACTCAAATATTTTTCTGTTCTAAAGTTCAACCACTGGAAAATTGTTTTTGTTTTTAGAACTCTGATGAACAGTCACAACTGCCTCCTGAAATCTCCATGATCATACCCAGAAGAGAATGACAAAGGCAACAGTATTAGACAAAGTATCAAACCATTCACAAGGGAGGCTTGCTTGTAGTGAGATTAGTAGATAATCTTGGAATTCAATGAAAACCAGGTACAGCTGCTGTGTGTCCATGGGGATTAGTTCCATACTGCCCCTCCATCTTCAGATGTTCAAGTCCTTAATATAAAATGGAACAGTATTTGCATATAATCTACACGCATCCTCCTTTAAACTTTTAAGTTGGGTGTGAATTACAGTGCCTAATACAGTATCTTTGTTAAGTAAATTGTTGTCATATATTGTTTAGGGAATAATGACCAAAAAAAAAAAAAAAAGTCTGTACACTTTAGTACAAATGAGTCGCCCTTCCCACCCCCCAAATATTTTTGATCTACAGTTAGTTGAATTGGATATAGAACCTTAGATAAGGGGAGATGGCTAACTGTACATAGTTTGAGCCCTGTGGAATTTTAGTAAAAATACTGCCTCTAAGTCAGGGTTGCAATGCTTTTTGTCTAGATGTCAGTTTAGTTTGAGGCTTTCCTAGTGTCTTAAATGTTGTAATTACATAGTCTCCTTTTCACTTTCACCAAATGAAGTAGCTGTTATAAATGTAACTAATAACACTGTATCTTTTTTGTATACAATTTGATGAATGTCTTCCACTAGGAGGTTTTGTATCTTTAGAAACTGGTTGCTTGATCCTGGCTGCAGTACTGCTGCTTCTGTTGTGGGGTAGGAGGCAAGTTCCTAGTAAGTGTGTTTCCTCCCCTTGGGCCAAAATCCTGGGAGTTGAGCAATGATTGTGTTGCCCCAAAGAGGAATAGGAGGGATTTATGACTATGACATCAAATTTTTTTGACATAGCAGCGATATATCTTTATTCTAAAAGAGGTTACTTTGAAAGTTGCTTGTGGCCAGTTATTTGCTTTCTCAATTAGCCCATAATTTTCATCATTATATTTGGCCTCATTTTTTATTAGTGAAGAATATTTTGATTTGCTGTGCATCCTTTTTCTCCTGCTACAGCCACAGAAATGTTTATCTTTAATATCAGTTCATTCTGATTCGTATTTAGCCAGTTAAGAGTATTAGACTAAGGATTTCATGTTTTTCACATTTTTCTATACTTTTCACTTCTGCTGTGTTTTCAGGTTTACCTTACTTGGCAAAATGAATTTCTGTACATTTGATTTCATTTTATTCCATATTTTTTCCTGTTCATAAAATTGGAAATGTTCATTATTTTGAAATTAAAATATAATTAATTAGTCTTGTAATTACTCTCAAGGTAAAAAAATTCTAATGAAGTATTAATTCACATATTGTATTTGTCTATTACAGAGAAGTTGAGATGAGTTTTAATTCATTTATTTGGTGGTACTAGGGTTTGAACTCAAAGCCATATTCTTGCTAGGCAGGCATTTTACCACATGAGCCACACACCCCAAGCCCTTTTTTGCTTTTAGTTATTTTTCAGATAGGGTCTTACATTTTTGCCCAGAACCAGCTTTAGACAACATCCTTCTGCCTATGCTTCCTGCATAGCTGGGAGCACAGGTAATCACCATACTCAGCTTATTGGTTGAAGTGGGGCCTTGCTAACTTTTTTTCTGGGCTGGCCTTTACTAACTGACTCAGGTATTGACCATTTTCAGCTGAAAAAATTTTGAATGAAAAAATGGATCCAACAATTATATGTAAAATTCAAAGACTAAAGTAAGACTGAAATTCTTTTATTTTTTCCCCCCTTTATTTTGAGTACTTTCCTAGGAGTGAACTGTCAATTAAAGTCAGTTCCAACACTCCTGGCTGACAATTGAAGACAAGGGTAATTCTGAAGTCAACATCTTGAAAAGGATCTGAGTGATTCTGATTACCAGGCCAAAGTAAAATTTTAACTTTTTATAAACCTTGCCTCAGTAATGGGGTGGGCAGGGGGAGGAGGGCAGAGGGACAGAGTAGAAACAAATGTTTTCATAGTCTTTAAGACCTACAAGTTTTCTGGAGAGTACAATCAATGTCTAAGTGCAGTCTTTAAAAATTTTAATTTGACAAAAGTTGCATATAATAGAATTCTTAGTATGTAGTTTTTTAGATTTATTACTATCTATGATCTTGAATTTCATTTTCCTTTTCTCCCCTCCTTTGTGGGACTGAATCTCACATATGCTGGACAAGTGCTCTATCAGTGAACTGCATTGTCAGTACTTGTTTTACTTTTTCTTAATTTGAGACTGTCTCACTGAGTGGGCCCAGGTTAACCTCAAACTTGGAATCCTCTTGCCCCAGCCCCTGAGCAGCTGAGGTGGCAGGCATGTGCTACCATGCCTAGCTTCCTCTCTCCTTCCTTCCCTCCTTCCCTCTTTGCCTCTCTCCCTCCCTCCCTCCCTTCCTTACTTCTTCCTTCCCCATTATTGGGGATTGAACTCAGGGTCTTGAGCTTGCTGGACAGGCTCTCTACCACTTGAGTCATACCCCCATCCTTTTGCTTTTAGTATGTTTTTCAGACAGGGTCTCAACATTTTTTGCCCCAGCTGGCCTTGGACCTTGATATTTCTACCTCCATCTTCCCTAGTAGCTGAGATTACTGGCATGTACCATTTTTGCCCACTGATAGAAAACATATTGACAACCACAGCATTGAATGACATTATTTGAAAAGTATGGACTTGAAGGTTAATGTGGACAACCCCAAAGTTAATCTTTCAATTGCAGAATCCTGATTTTGGGAGTATAAGTAGTGTGAAGGTAATTTCTTAGCAGATTGCAACTGTTCCTTCCCACTAAACACTTCTTTATAATAGAAATGATTATTCACAATACCAATGGTTCCTTGCTTTACAGTTTGTTTTGTGTGTGTGTGTGGCAGTTTCCTTTAAATAACAGCCTCATTTTGGGGGATGTGTCAAATTTCTTTATTTGAGGAAATGGTACAAATCAAAGAACTTATGTTTGTGTTTGGTACAATTTACAGAAAAGGTAAATGTATCCCAGCATACATGCATTACTCTGGTGATGTGGAAGTCAGCCTAAGGCTTGGCTTTCATTGTTACTGTCTCCTCAGACATGCTTATCAAAGGGAGA